CGTCCCCCTCCTCCCCCCTCTGTGGCTCTCATCTATTTCTTTTCTTCCTGACATCCCAGCAGCTCGATGAGATTTTTTTTTTTTCTGTGTGCTCAGATTATCAGTATCTGAGTGGAATTCCTCTTTTATTATCATTCACACGCACGGCTCCAGTCCACAGGGCCGGGACCCCGGGGGTCTGGGAGTCACGTGATTCACTCATTGCTTTACATTCTGACATATCAACAACAGCGACGCTGCATTTTATCACAGCCACAGAGAAACACTGCGGCCGAACCAGACTCCACCACCACCACCGGTGAACGTCGGTGTCAAACCACAGCCTCAGAGTCTGGTCCCCGAGAGCCAGCGTTTGGATACGGCCTCAAAATAAGGCCTGAGACCCCAACACTTATGAAACAAACAAATAAATAAATAAATAAAAAACAAACATTTTTTTTAAAGTATCGTGATGAATAAAAACCGTTTCTTTCGTTCCGGTAAAATCGATAATCGTTTACATAATTTTGAGAACCGGATCGTGTACCGTTCAAAGAACCGTGAACAAGTTATATGAATTTAATTATTAATTTTAGATTTTATGGCGTGTAAACAAATAATAATAATAATAATAATAACAATAATAATAATAATAATAATAATAATAAAAGTGTCATTCTACCAACAAAGTCGTGTCGGCGCTGTTCTCTCTCATCTTTTTTAACATTGTTCAGAGTTTATCAGTAACCCACTGCGTGTGCGCGTGCTCCTCTCTTCTTCTGTGAATTTTTTTTTTGTTTCAGTGAAAAAAATCCGAGTGCTGCTGCATTCACACTCATTCACTCATTCACTCACCCACACGTTAATCTTCAACTCGGCCCACGGCGGTTCCTGTTGTTGCCGCGGCCACAGCTCGGTCTCGGACTCCTGCCCCGGTAACAGTCCGGTGAACTGACCTGCCCACGGTTCCGTGACGGACACCGGTCAGCTGACCTGGAGACACATGACTACATTAGACAACAACAGACGGCCGCGGACGTTCTCTGTCCGTGAGTTTTCACTCGGTTTGGCATTAACTGCTGCAGCAGAGGTCGCTCAGCCGTGCGCGCGCACAGACGCACGTTCTCGATCTTATTTTTAACTCAACATTTCAACAAGTCCGTCGTCACTAAAATAAAACGATTTACAACGTATTGTAAATCGTTTTACAATGAATTTTAAATAGTGAAGAATTTTACAATTTTATTTTTCACAAACGGCATTTAAAGTTGTAAAATAAAATCAGCAGCACAAAAAATTAATTATATAAAAATAAACCATTTATAAAACAAAAGGATTTTTAATGAATGTCTCAGTCACAGAAACAACAACGAAGAAACAGAAAGAAACAAAAGTTGTTTGTTCTCAGATCAGCGTGAAAAATAGGGAATGAACTTTTGGCCGCAGTTCAGATGAACCGCAGATGAACTGTACAGTGTGTGTGTGTGTGTGTGTGTGTGTGTGTGTGTTCAGCACAGTATATTTGTTTATCTGCTGTTTGCTGCGGGGCCTGTTTTTCACCTCGCCACCATTCCTCCGACTTTACAAGGAGTCATAAACGGCCATAAAACCATAAAAGTCCAGAGCCGCCCCCCCCGTACACACACACACACACACACACACAGAGGAGGTGAAGGAGAGCCATAAAACCATAAAGCAGTCGTCTCACCTCCTCAGCTTTGATTGTCGATAATCTCTGAAGTTGTTCAGATTCCTGGAGTTCCTTCTGCGTCTCTGCTGTTGACACTGGAGCCACGACACTGCTGTCTGCTTTACTGCACCGGACAGAACACACACACACACACACACACGGGGATATATAAAACACTTAACAGTCAATAAAGAGTTCATCACATCCCCATTATCTTTATTACTGTTATTATTATTACTAACGGTACTAGAAGTCACAGTAGTAGTTTTTTCACAGTAGTTTTTTTTGCAGTACTGTCTGCATCCGCTCAAGTTTAAAAAATATTGTTTTTACTATTTATATATTAATTATAAAATAATAATAATAATAACGTTTGTGCTGAAATATTTATGATGTTGCAAAAAAAACGAACACAGGAAGAAACGATGACGACAGTGAAGATAAATTGACGTCACAACTGTTTGTCATGAATAATAGACTACATTAATATTTCAAGTAAATAAAAAAAAGGTTTAATGTTAAATATTAAAGACGTCGAGACTTTTACTAAACATGTAATTTATTCCGTTTACTCAGTTGTTATTCTATATTTAACCGACGGTTAATCGACTATATTGCACCCGTAGATTTTTAGATTGAAACACATCAGCTTCGCCCCCCCCCCCCCCCCCCCCCCCCACATCATCATGAGTGTCTGACCTGCAGCAGAGTCATCTACAGGAGGAAACGTTAGAAACAGACGTGATAACAAGAAGAGTTTCCTCCACAGATACAGACACAGGTCCTCCATTACAGCTGTCTGTGTCTGTGTGTGTCTGTGTGTGTGTGTGTGTGTGTGTGTGTCTGCAGCTGCTATTTTAACACAGAAACACACACACACACACTCGGTGGGCTGCTTCCACTCGGCGTTTCCGCCGTTTGCTGCCAAACACACACACACTTTCAGAAACCAAAACTACAGATTTACTCCGGAGCAGAGGAGGAGAAATACTTCAAATACAACGAAGTACTAACAGTTAGAGTACTACAGTGAAAGTCAGTGACTGGACTGAGTACAGAGTTGTACTGCACATGTGACGTGTACTGCAGTACCAGCGTCTGGAGGAGGTTTTCAGTTTCAGAGGTATGTGATTCAAAATGGTACTACAAACTGTATCAAAGTACTACTACGTGTTTTTATTTAATACTTCAATTGGCGTGTATTGGGTTTTTAGGCAGTATTTAATTTTAATGTCACGTAAAGTAAATCTAAAACTAAGCTAGTATCAGGCTAGTACTGTGTTAAGTACATATATACAGTATATTTAAAATTTGCTTTGACACGTTTTCACCTCCAGGGGCGACACCTGCTGTTTGTTTTTATCAATTTCCTCTCGTGGTTCACGGTACACGTGTGTACTACACTTTTATATTTAATATTACTACGCTCTACTACAGTATACTGCAGTAGAGGAGCCACGTCAGCTGACCCAGCTGATGAAATGTCCCAGAATCCCACACGGCTTCGTTAGTGTTAAACACTCAGATCTCACCTGTCGGGTCTGTGACGTCATGTGATAGTGTTACACCGGCGGAGCGCCGCGTCGTTCGGTACCCACCGTGGACCTGACCCACGTGTTACTGTCCACGGGATAAATCAGAGGAGTCTGTCATGAATCCAGTCTCCTCTTCTCCTCCTGCTGCTCCTCCTGCTGCTCCTTCTCCCCTGCAGACACAAGACAAAAAAAA